ATTCGCATCTCACCAATGCACGCAGGCCAAACAAGATGAAGAAGTTTTACAAGTTCTTTGCCATCCCAGGCATAGGCAACTTTGCTGGCGGTGCGTATTAGTGTGCCTCTAAACTAATCCGCCCTCCACCTGTTCTTATACGTTTTTGTCTTGCCGCAGGTCTCCCCAACGCCCAATTTTTCCCCTTTGACACTCTAGAGGCCCAGTCCGCAAAGCCGGACAGATGGACCCCGACGCCGAATCACCCGGGCGACGAACGCCTCTCTTCCACAGCGGCTTCCCTCAAGATTGGAGATAACGATCCAAAGGCTGCTTCCCATGTCGTTGTCCCTCATGAGTCTGCTGTCACCGACTTGGCCAAGAAGATCGATCTTACCACAGCCCTTCAGTGTGCGTACCTCAACTTTGTTGCTGTCTGACGGTCTAGAGAAACTGGGTGATGATTTCTCAGGGCGAAAATTAACAGGCGACTTAGATGGCCAGGCTTCTGGATACCCGCCCCTAGCCTCTTTCATCCGCCAGTTCTCGCGCGAAGTATTGCACCCCAACGTACCTTACAACGGAGGGCCCGAGGTTGCCCTGACCGTCGGATCCACAGATGGCATGTCAAAGGTGCTGGATGTATTTACCAACATTTGGGTGGAAGGAAAGGACGACATCCGTGAACGACCTGGATTGCTGACCGAGATATTTGTGGTATGTATCAAAGCCTGCGGTACCGGATACTTTAGTCCCATTTTGTCGCTTCATCTAGCACTATCTACCATATCGAGGTTGGGATTCTCGACTGACATGTTTTTATGTGCGCAGTATCCCGGCCCTGTCGCTCAGGCCACTCCTAGGGGCATCCAGATATGCCCCATCGAGATGGATGAAGGTGGTATGGCGCCCTATGGACCTGGTGGGCTGGAAGATTGCTTAGCAAACTGGGATGACGCAAAGGGCAAACGACCGCACTTGCTGTATACTGTCTCGTGAGTCTATCTTAGTCCTAGCCGCCATGTCCTGGCCTTGAGAGCCCCCAATCGTCGTTGTTCGAAGACATCACTTGCTAACACCTTGCTCTCTAGAATGGGCCACAACCCTACAAGTGGAGTACTTTCAATCCAAAGGCGGAGGGAGCTTTACGACATATGTAGCAAGTATGATGTGCTCATTATCGAAGACGACCCTTATTGGTATCTTCAGTTTCCTTCAGCAGAGGTCGAGGAGGCCAAGGCGCGAAACAAGCCCAGTCCGGCACCCAAGGTCGTGGAGACCCTACCAAAGAAGTCCGGCTACCCATTCATAGATTCATTGGCGCCTTCATTCCTCAGCATCGATGTCGACGGCCGGGTCATCCGACTAGACACATTCTCCAAGACAATCGCGCCAGGCTGTCGGCTCGGGTGGGTTACAGCCACGCCCGAGATTGCTGACCGGATCATCCGTGTGGGCGAATCCGGCACCCAGCAACCCTCGGGTTTCGTGCAAGCCATGGTTGCGGAGATCATCATGGGGCCCCAACCCGAAGCTACGGCTGCCTTCCACTCCCGATCGCCCAAGGACAAGGCTACCTTCTCCGGCTGGAAGATGGATGGCTGGGTACGGTGGCTCGCCGGCCTGCGCGGTGCATACGAAAGGCGCATGCAGACCATGTGCAACCATCTCGAAGAGCACGCTTACCAGTTGAAGCAGTCGACGCCCGTGCGCGATGCCGACTGGGACTGGGGCGTCATCACCAAGACCAAACTGTACGAGTTTGACTGGCCGCGCGGCGGCATGTTCGTGTGGCTGAAGGTGCGCCTCGAGGCTCATCCGCTTTTTGGGAACGTCGGGTCCGAAGGTAGCGTGATCGGCGGCATGGCGCTCGCCTCGGCGCTGATGATATTCCTCACCCACAAGCCATTCCTCGTCCTCGTCAGTCCCGGCACCATGTTCAGCGCCTCGCCACAAATCGCCGCGTCCAAGGGGTGGGCTTTTTTCCGTCTGTGCTTCTCCGCTGAGACGGATGAGAGGAACAGTGATTGCTCGTTGCGCTTCGGACAGGGCGTGCAGAAGTTCTGGCGTATCAAGAAAGTTGCTGAGATTGAGGCCCTTCTGGACGAAGCGGGATCCTTGGAGGCCGAGGAGGTTGAGGGTTTGACGAATATGGGCTGGATGGGCTGTTAGACCTTCCTTCGTATGGATCAGCGAAGTTGCATAGACACTGGGCCTACGCTCGCTTATACTAATTACATGGTTATTCTACGATAGTGCAAGATTTCATTGCGACCTAGAGTACTGTATAATGAAGGTTGAAGTCATTGCCGCCCTGAGAGTGAAAGCGTCGATGCTTAAAGACAAGATCATTTGCGCCTGGATTCTCCCCCCTCGATTTGTCGTTCTTCTGAGACATTGAAAAGTATATCGAAACGGGAGATGGAAAGCAGAGTCTATATGGCTTTCGTATTGTTATAATTGGATGCACTCTATGAGACGAATATTACGGGATGTTGGGGATGTTGGGGCTCGACCTACTCACTACCGACTACTAAGTCTGCAACTCCTCGTAGATCAACTGCACTACAGACATTAAAAGTAGGGATAGCGCATCCTGTTGCTCTCTTGGTCCATTGGAATCCTGAGGGTCTGAACAATATGTGGCATATGATCTGCCCCAATCAAAGTCTGGAACGCACCGAGATAGCAACTACATCTACGAATAACATTTCACATGAACAATGGGACTTTATTGTCGATTGAGTGAATCTTTGCCAGCACTTGGTTTTATAGATCCATGCAATGCATTGAAGACAGAATGGGAAGGCTTAGGTCACAGAAATGTTCATAATGACAATTCCATTGATTCATGAGACCCTATGACCCCGAATACGCCCATTACAATTGCAACCCAATGCTTGCCCCCAACAAATTTTCCATAGACGAGCTGCTCACCAAGCTAATCTAACTTAATCCTCCTTGAGAACCCCAAGGAAAGCCTCGGGGGTCTTAAGGGGCTTGCCAGCCTCGGCCTTCTGCTGACCAAGCTCTTTCTTGATGAATGTGGAGTGGTAGGGGTTGAATCGCAGCATAACCTGCTTGTTGCGGAGGGGGTTCTTCTGGATGTTGGCACGCTTGGTCACCGAGCCGCCCTTGGGGGCGCGGAGGACGCTCTGGATTTCGGAGCTGTTGATTAGACGGCTAAGGTCGGCCTGAGAAACAACGTTGCTGGGCAGGAGGAAGTCCTTCTTAAGCTCTGAAGGTGTGGTGGTGGTACCGTAGATGCTGTCAAGAGCCTTGAAAGCAGCCGAGGTCCAAACGATGAATCGGCCGAGGTGACCGCCGGGAGCCAGCTGGAGAAGGTTCAGAGCGTAGACGGAGCACGTCTCGACACCGGGCAGGTTGCGGGTACCCTTGATGAGCTCGGTTCCATCGACCTCGGGGTCGTAGATGACCAGGGGTCCGCGGCGTTGGCGGTGGCGGCGGCCACGCATTTTACCCTTACCGGCCCTCAGCTTCTTGGACTTCTTAGCCTTGAGGACATCGGCAGATGCGCCGGCGGCAGATAGGATAGCGAAAGCGTTGGCGGTCTTGGCGGCGGCAGCTCCCTCAAAGACAGCAGAGTCGATGACAAGGGGAACCTCGGGGACGTCGGAGATCTGGTGGCCACGCGCGAGGAGAAGGGGAGCGACAGCCGAGGCAGCAAGAGCCGAGGCCGTAGCGAAGCGCCTTCATATCATGGTTAGTTTTCGGCCCTTGACTGGCAATGCTGAGCACGCTCCGGAGTGCACCACTCACTTCTGGCCCTGGTTGATCTTGATGTGCCACTTGCGCCAGATCTTGGTCGGGGCGAACATACGACCGGAACGGCACATGTTACCGAAGGCAGCCTGACCGGCACGGTGAGTACCACCTCCCGAAACACGGGGAATACGGGCGACAGCGCGACCTGGGCACCATTATCAGCAGATGTTCGTTCGCACCCATGACCGAGTGATTCCCCTCGAGATCCCATCTAGATCCCATCGTGTCGCAGGTCGTTGCGGGCGTCCACCGCTTGCACCAGGAGGAATTCAATCGCGGAAACACGGGCAACTAACCAGTTCCCCAGGACTCTGCAGAGGTCTGGTGGCCGGCCTTCTCGCTCACGGCATACGGCTGACGCTTGTTCTTGGCCATGCCAGTGTGGACCTGCTGGACAATGTCGGGTCGGATGGGGGAGGCGAAGACGGTAGGGATGGGATGGGTAGCTCCCGAAGGAGTACCATCTTTACCGATGATGGTGACGGTCGGTCTGGAGGCCATCGTGAAGTCGCTGGGCTGCGTCTAGAGGGTTAGTAAAGAAAGGAGGATGCGAATGAGTAGGTGAGGCCCCAGTCCAGTGGTGTGGTGTGGCGGATGTGCGTACCTCGAGAAATGTGGTGATAATTTCTCAGGGCGAAGGGCCAAAATTGACAGGCGACTTAGCCGAATTATTTTGTGTGGCAGCGGAGCGCTAGCAGATCTCTACTGGGGCCAGCTGCGAGACTCTGCTGCCGGTCCGTGTGTACGAGACCCATGACCCACCCAGAGGTACCGCTGGCCCTCTGGGTCCCACGCAGCCAATCAGAGCTACTTGCTCGCGAGGGGCATCTGGTCGCCTATCGCCTACCTTATCGCCTACAGCCTAACTACATATGTACCTACGACTTACTGGCCCCCAAATACCTACCCAAATAAAACCTCACCGTAGGTAACGCATGAGATTCCTGTGGGCAATGAATAACAATAGGTAATCTTCCCTGTGACGAATATCGTCCATCCTCGGTCTCATGGCCAGGCTTTCTTTTGGTACCGATGCTTCACGCCACACATCCACTAGATTTGTTGAATCTGGAGTATACCTTGGACCTTGTGTAGTGGCCACTCCCTAAGCAACCCCACCAAGGGATACCGGTGAATAGGTACCTAGGTAGCAATAAAAAGTAAGCGGTCGACTATGTCAATAATAGGGTTCCGGTTCAGCAGCAAGACGCAACTCCCAACCCAATGGGACATAATCCGAATTGGTGTAGTGGCTAACATATGTCGCTCTCAACTTCGATATCCTTACCTTGACTTGAAATAAAGTACCGACATGCCCGGGGTTCGATTCCCCGATTCGGAGTTGATTATATATTATTTTCTTTTGCTATTCAATATTATTGAGCAAAACTTTATGATTTTTTACATATATACTTTTATCTAGCTAGTATATATATGTTATTATTATTGCTACTATTTGCGATTGTATTAAAAGCAGCTCATGGTATATGATATTCCTTAGATGATGATATTAATATACCGTGATTAAATATTGCATACGGACTACAAATAGTAAATGACTGTCGAGGCAGTGTTGCATAGCAGTCAGGGTCCCCAAGTGCCTCAGGCGGCACCTAGTCGGTATCAGGTAGAGTTCTCCTAGATCTATCGTCGTGCGACATTTTCACCGCTTCCAAGGTTCCAATCGACACTCCAATCGACACGTATATACACTACTACTAGGTACGCTTGGCCTTTAGTCGCTCCACTTCAGCCGCTTAAAACCTCAGCACCTCGGGCATTGCTATCATCCAGCCACCCAGCCCCACGCCAGCCGAGCAGCATAGTACATCCCCTCACCTTGGCCCCTCGCCAGCCAGCCTGGAGGTGATGTTCAGCTCCGTCTTGATTTACTGTGAGCATTGTGGTATGTGTATAACCGGATCTTTAAGAAAATTATAGTTAATGACATCTGCGGCTGAACATCATTGCCTGTTTGTAGCCTTCATGAACCCCTCGTCAGTGAGGTAGATTGAGTGTTATACCTACCAAACTTTATATGCAGTTGTTCATAATGTAGATTGCCTCAGATAGTGCAGTTGAGTTTGTTTTCCACAGATTACGGAGTACTTCGTATATGCTTGAGAACTTCAGATACTCATGTGCCTTTGCCTTCGTACCACTGGACAGCATAGGAAATGCGTGATATTCCTCAGTGACTTCTCTTCTTCGTAGCTTAGTGCATCCTCCTCGAGTCAAGTCCCCCAAAGTCCATATAATGATCATATATATGTGTGCGTAGGTGATAGATGCCCGTGCCTTGAGACCACCAACTTTAACGTTGTACATAGTAAGCATGGAATAAAACGGAGATGCCACCTTGATTGTCTTAGCTGCTTGTATGGGCTGACGCTAATATGTACGAGGTTGAAGGCGCAGGGTCAGCTGAACAACGCAAGCATCCTGCGCCATCTCATCAGATGAGCGCCGACCCAGGAAGTAATCTAGCAGCACGGGTGGTTCATAACTAATTAGTGTCCGTGTCTCTCAATCTTGGACCGGAGATGGTGTGTCGCCCATTGATTGAAGCTCAATAACAAACACCTCCCATCCGGACGCTGCTCAATTTGGGCTCGGAGGTTTAGTGCTATTACTCCTGCTATTTTGTGGTATCGCTCGTTGCATGATGTTGCGTTCTCATGCGTGGACGACTCGCGAACCACAGATTATGCCTTCAGGTTGCTGTTTTCAAAAATAAACGGCAGATCTTATAGCTCGTGTGTGTGTAGACATTTGAGGACTACTCTCCTACAACACACTCGAGACACTCAAAACCCCGCGGTGCTACTGTAAAGGAGCGCTGATGGACACCAGGGTGCCTGCTAGTGTGTTCACCGCTACCCAGTCAAAAACCCGAAGGTCTGAGTTGACGTGCATGAACACTCATTCTAGCGACGCCACGGATCTGCACGATAGGCTGGTGAATTTTTCCTATTTGACTCGATATTACCGCAACTTGCAAGTCAACAGATTTCAATGAAGGCGTAACAGGTAAAAGGTTTTAGCTGTTGCGGCATATACTCCAACATATCTTTATCAACGCAGATTTTACAGCTTTTGAGGCCAATAACTGTTCTTGGAGTAGGTATTAACTACAGTACATAGCCAGGCAACTAGGCACCCAGCATGTCAGGCATCCAAGATACCAGGCATGCCAGGCTCACCAGGTTCCAGGATCTGACGGAGCATGGCCCCCATGGCGAGCATGGCTCGGGAAGACCCTGAGGATCCATGTGGGGTCCTCTAGGTAGACTGACAGGCCCCAGGGTAGCATCGTAGCCCAAGTGGGTGATCACTTGTCTTGGATTGCTCACCTTTGCTCCTTGACATTGCATAACACTGGTACATCACTAGATACACCACAATACTCGTAGCTCCAAAAGTCTCGGTTGTGCATTTGCATTGCTAGCTCGTCCTGCGGCTGGAACCGTCGGCAGAAAATTCGGGCATTAGATTTGCCCAATCTCGTCGTAGCTATTAGCCACTATCATCAGTCCTCGTATTCCATACTACGCTACTCTCACATGCGAGCAGGGATTATTGGCGCCTAGATTGACGCCGACGGTCTCGATGAAATTATGGCGCTGCGGTGCACCACGACGACTAGTAATATCACCATTAGTATTAAAGCATCTCGTTCCCTTGGCTCGCTTTGAGCTGGCTTAAAATGACCCTGATGTTCAGGTCAACTGTCTTAGGGATACTGATCTCATCATTGGGAAATACATGGTGGTTTTCTACTTTTTCTAAATTCTACTAATTCTTAATACTGTTTGGTCCTAGGTTTACAGCAGGACAAGCCGTTACCATGCGCTGGAATTCACCTGTCTTGTCGGCGATGCTATTGCTGACTCCGTTGGTTGACGCAGATCCAACATGGCCTTCCCAGAATGACGAGCTGGAAGAGATCATGTACCAGGTAAAGGGCTACCGTGCCCGCCAATTTGGTGGAACTGTCATACCCTGCTCAAGTCAAGCTTCAGGGCCCGGTCGTCACAATGCCGCTGAGTGGGTGAGAGCTGCCTTTCACGATATGGCAACTACCACAATAGCTGGCGGCCCCCGAAAAGGCGGGCTGGACGGATCTCTACAATACGAAATCACGAGTTCAGACAATATCGGACCGGCGTTCAACACTACTCTAAAGTTTATGGCAGACTACTACACGAGCCGATCCAGTGTGGCGGACCTCCTCGCGTTGGGCGTTTACTATGCCGTAAGGTCGTGTGGCGGTCCAGTGGTGCCCGTTGCTGGCGGCAGGATAGATGCTAAAGAGGGCGGTCCCATTGGAGTCCCTCTACCTCAGAACTCCCCTTTCACGTTTGAGCAGCAATGGTATGTATCAAAACCTGCGGTGCTAGATACTTCAGTCCCATCATGTCGCTTGATCTAGCACTTTTCACAATATGGAGGTTGGGAATCTTGACTAACATCTTTTAGTTGGTATATTTGATTGAGTCTTTGATTCCCGGATTCTGCTCCGAAAGCGCAGCATGCTTATGCACGCGCATGAGACGCCTGATTATTGTGTAAGAACTTCCCCAAGGAAGGTAGATTCTGACTCTTATTATCTAACAGTCTTGCGCATGGGCTTCGACAAGTCGGAAATGATTCAGGTCGTTGCGTGCGGGCATACTATCGGTGGAGTTCATGAGACTGAATTCCCCCAAATTGTCCCTGTGGGGAGTACGGCGAATGGCGAAGGACAAATGGACTCGACAGTGGACGTGTTCGATAACAAGGTCGTCACTGAATATGTTTCAGGCAACACAACAAATCCCCTAGTCGTCGGTCCTTCGGTACGAGCCACCCGGAATTCCGACTTCAAAGTGTTCAACTCGGATCAGAATCAGACTATATCAGCGATGACCGAACCCGCGACATTCCGAAGCATTTGCGCCAGAGTATTGCGTAAAATGATTGAGGTTGTGCCTGCGGAAGTCGTTCTTACTGACCCCATCCAACCATATGCCGTCAAGCCAGTCAATATACAGCTTACACTGAACCCTGGAGCGTCAACTTTGCAGCTGTCAGGATTCATACGAGTCCGTACCACCGACTTCGGAAGCGATTCTGCTCAGGGTGTGATTCTGACTTATAAGGACCGAAGCGGTAGCAACAATTGTGGTAGCCGGGGTTGTACATATCCACTCACCGTCTTGGGGGCTACACAGGGATTCGACGACACATTTGTGTGGTTTCCGATTAACATTGAAGTCCCGGCCTCTTCGGGCATCTCCTCCTTCACTTTGAATCTCCAGATGGCCAGTGGCACATCTAGGGTTTACGACAATAATGGTAACGCGTACCCCATCCAGGATGGTATACTGGTACAGAAACCTCAGAGCTGTCTCCTTGAAGGAAGGTTACAGGTTGTAGCAGGTGTGAGTCTGAGATTTTTTTTGGAGTTGTAATAAACTTTGGAATTGACATATTCGCACAGGTTCGCAACGATCTCAAGGTGTCAGCTCCGGTAAACCTACACCTCTCATACAAGACACCCGTTGCCGACCCGAATCGCCCGATCCCTACTTTGAATGATGCGATTCTAGAGATGGAGAAATACGAATGTGTCGGCCTATATACACTCTACTCGGCTGTTTATGAAGGACTTGGCGACCTTGCCTATGCTACCAAAGTTGATGTAGTCACCGGGGCTGGTACATCAGCTGCGCAAGATACCTTCAAGGCAGCAAGTGACTTTGGAGCGAAATGCATCGACTTTCAGGCGCCACCGGCCTCAATGTGCTCACGCCCGAATGATCCTGGCCCTACAGAGGGAACCTCGTCGTCAACAGCAACTGCAAATCCAACCGTGACCTCACCACGGCCAATCACGAGCACTACAGATCGAGCCACAAGCACGAGCACTACAACAGCAGCAGAGATGCCTAGCCATAGACAAGCTCTAGGTGATTTTAGACTCGCAGGCTGTAACACAGAACCCTCAGGGGCCCGCGCGCTAGCCGGTGCCAGCTTTGCCTACGATGGAATGACACTTGAGGTCAGTTCACAGGAGTCTTTTATTCCCTCTTCTGGCAAGGCTCGAAGGCATGAATTACCATGGCCCACGAGCAGTTTCTTTACTATAAAAGCAGTTATTAACTCCAGCGTGATAAATAGAGTTGCATGAAAAACTGCACGGGATTCTACTACTGGGGTACGGAGTACGGCCGCGAATGTAAGCTTGCTCCAAACGCTCCCGACGGTTGTTCTTGCAATCTTGTTAAACTGATAACATGTAGGTTACTGTGGCAATACGATCAACGTATCCAGCAAAAAGGTCGAACTCGATCAGTGTAG